TGCACATGATGACCTCTCGGCTCTCAGGACACCCACACAAACACCAGGGGAAACCACACACTTACACAGAGAAACAGGAGGCGGTGACAAAGCCATCAAAGTGCTTAAGGGAGCTCCAAAGCAGAACCTGGGCCCTGCAGAGAATGTAACTGGAACCAAAAGGCACCCGAGAACTCCCAAGGGAAAGGCCCAATTCCTAGAAGACCTGGCTGGCCTCAGCGAGCTCTTCCGAACCCCAGATCACACAGTGGGACCTGTGACTGATGACCAGACCACCAAAATGCCCTGCAAATCTCTGCAAGCAGAGCTGCTCACCACACCGACAAGCAAGAAGAAAGGGCCCCAGACACCCCTGGGGAGAGTGGGTGCGCGGGAAGGGCTCTCGGCCCTCAGGACGCCCACACAGACACCTGGCGGAGCCACAGCCTCACACAGAGAACTGGGAGGTGATGATAAAGGCGTCACATTCCTTAAGGGAACCCCAAAGCAGAAACAGGGCCCTACAAGAAATGTAACTGGACACAAGAGGAGGCCGAGAACTCCCAAGGCAAAGGCCCAACTCCTGGAAGACCTGGCTGGCCTCAGCGAGCTCTTCCGAACCCCAGATCACACAGTGGGTCCCATGACTGATGACCAGACCACCAAAATGCCCTGCACATCTCCCCAGCCAGAACCAGCAATCATACCAAGCAGCACGAAGGGATGGCTCAGGACACCTCTGCAGAAAGTGGATGGACATGACGACCTCTCGGCTCTCAGGACACCCACACGGACACCAGGGGAAACCACACACTTACACAAAGAAACAGGAGGTGGTGACGAAGCCGTTAAAGTGCTTAAGGGAGCTCCAAAGCAGAACCTGAACCCTGCAGAGAATGTAACTGGAACCAAAAGGCACCCAACAACTCCCAAGGGAAAGGCCCAATTCCTGGAAGACCCAGTTGGCCTCAGCGAGCTCTTCCAAACCCCAGATCATGCTAAGGATCCTGTGACTGATGAGCACACCACTAATATACCCTGCCCATCTCCACAACCAGAGCTGGTCACCACGTGCCCCGGCCTGAGCAGAAGGCTCAGGACACCTCCCTGCAAAGTGGATGTAGAAGAGCTCTCGGCTCTCAAGAAGCCCACACAGACACCAGGGGGAACCACGTCCTCCCCCCGAAAACCAGGAGGTGGTGACCGAGCCACTGCAGTGAGTGAGGAAGCTCCAGAACCGAAACTGGACCCTGCAGAATATGTAACTGAAAGTAAGAGGCGGCCAAGAACTCGCAAGGGAAAGGCCCGACTCCTGGAAGACCCGGTTGGTCCCAGCGAGCTCTTCCGAACCCCAGAGCATGCCGAGGGGCCCATGACCGATGAGCACACCTCCGCAATACTCTGCCCATCCCCGCAAGCAGAGCCAGTCACCACACGAACAAGTAGAAAGCGACGGCTCAGGGCACCTGCGGACCTAGGGGAGGAGCTCTCAGCCCTCAGGAAGCCCACACGCCGACAAGCCCGAGGAGACGGTAAAGACATCCCACTGTTTCGGGAAACTGCAAGGCAGAAACTGAGCTCTGAAGAAAATGTAACTAGGACCAAGAGGCGACCAAGAGCGTGTAAGGAAAAGGCCCAGCCCCTGGAAGACCTGGCCGGTTGCAAAGGGCATTTCCGAACGTCAGATCACGCCGAGGGACCCACGGCCAATGACCAGACCACTGACGAGCCCTGCAAACCTCTGCAAGCAGAGCCAATCCCCATGCGCACAAGTAAGAGACAGCTCAAGGTACCTCCCCAGAAAGCGGGTGCACGGGCAGAGCTCCCCGCCCTCAGGACGCCCGCACAAACTCCCGCGGGAGCCACGGCCTCACACAGAGAACGGCAAGGTGGTGATAAAGGCGCCACGTTGCTTAAGGAACCTGCAGAACCAAAACAGGACCGTGCAAGAAACGTAACTGGAACCAAGAGGAGGCCAAGAACATGTAAGGAAAAGGTCCAAGCCCCAGAAGACCTGCCTGGACGCAAGGAGCGCATCCAAAGCCCGGAGCGTGCCAAGCGGCCGGGACATGAGGCAGCAAGCACTGAGCCATCTCCAAGGCAGACACCAGACAGAAGGAGGCCTGTGAAAATGTCTGGAAGAGCCCTTAGGGCCCTTAAAGTAAAACCCACGGAAGACCCTGTAAAACCTCACAGTGAAAGCAGCATCTCCTTGCCTCCCAAGAGGAAACGTGGAGAAGATGGAAGTGTCACAGGAACGAAGAGGCTGCCCACCCTGACTGCCCCACAGGAAAGCAGGGACGAGAAGCCACTCCAGAAAAGACGGCGGGAGTGTCGTAGACCCCCTGAGGCCCCAGTCATCAAGAAAAGTTTGAGGATTTTGGAAAAAAGGATCAAACCTGTGGAGGACCTGCCCAGCAGCCACATGAAAATGAGAAAACCGGGACGAGCAGAGGAGGACGTGACCTCTCCAGATCAGGTGACGGTAGGTGTGACCTGATCATTACATGGCATCTGGGATGGATGTTCTTTATGGCGTAAGGTTTGGTCTAAGTCATATAGGACCTGGATTTATGTGTGGATATTGTTTTCCAAGGCGGTCTACATTCAACTGAGTGAATAACTGCAGGCTGTGGTAAAGAATCCTTTTGGGGTATATATTCTAACTTAGGGAAATAGTCAAAATATTACAACAAAGGTTAATAAGTTTCTCAGGAGCGGAAGGAATTAGGTTCACCCTCAAGGGGAGAAGCTTTGTGCAGAGAAAAGTTGGGCAGCCCAGTCCTGCTGTCCAAACCCCACAGCCAGGAAAACTGGGTGGGAGTAGGACACTGCCAGGATCAGAACAGTCAGAGCCAGTATGTGGGCCTTAGATGGAGAGGTGACCACAGTGTGGACCGAGGTTTGGTGAGGTTCCAGACATAGAGATTTTCCTGTTCCGCTTTAGCACTTAAAGGATTAGCAATTCACTTACTAATTCATTTTGATGAAAATCATTTTTCTGAACTGCCCCTTTGAGGCTTGTTTTAATCAGATTTGACATATGTGCCATTCAGGCAATGTGACTGAAACTTAACCTGAATTCCTCACTCATGGTTTATCAGCAGAGATGAAGGTTTTTCTACAGGAGCCAAAGGACGAGGCCCTTCCCTGGCTACCTGACATCACCGTTATCTTAGAACATTAACGAACGTAGAAGTTTCAGATGAGTTCCCCTTTGCGTCTACTTTTGATTTTTTTTTCTCCATGTTGAATTTTGAGATGGGTATTACTCATTATTGGCATGTTGGGGGTGTCTTGGAATTTGTAGGGGATGTCCCTGCGCTCCAGACGCCCGAATAACACCAACGTGGAAGAGCAAAGACCTGAGCTGCTTATACCAGAAGAAAAGGTCAAAGTAAAGAGGAATGAGAAGACGTCCATGAAGACCTCCCAAGAGGTGAAGCTACAGAACCCAGATGAGGGGGCCAAGAATCGCAGCTCCGAGGAGACCCATGGGGGCAGAAGGGGTCTGAGATCTCAAAGACTCAAGGTGTCCTTGCCTAACGCAGCAGGGGAGGAAAGTGTGGGAATCCATGGGGGAAATCAGAAGGAGAAAGAAGGAAAAGAACCCGCAGGCTTCAGGAGTCTGAGGTTAAGAAAGAGGACAGCTCCTCCTCCGGAGACCGCCGTGGAGAGCTCATCCGAGGCATCCGAGCGGAGAGTGACTCGGGGTGCCAAGAGGTGCGCCGAGAATATTAAAAAGGCAAGTAATCCCGTGTTTTTTCTTATGAGCATGGAATCTTTTGATATAATTTTTGCCCCATGTTGCAAAAGCAAACAAAACACCTCATATATAATAACACGTTGCCAATTCCCAGTCACACTAATATACAAAGCATGAATCTAAACCGAGCATTTTGTCTCTTTTTAGCTATGTTTAGTTGGATCTCTCTTGGGGATTCCACTTGAAGTGGTAAATGCACATTGTGAAAACACATTCAGGAAGAACAAGGATTTCATCTAGTTAGAACTTTCTCACCGCTTGTTACGTGCCACACACTCACATCCCAGCGGGTGTCTTCAGATTAGCTCGATGAAACTTACTAATGCATAAACATTTCAAAGGAGTTTCTAAAGTGGTCCTGTCTGCACCACTTTTTCAAAGGGGCTTCTCTGGAAAGCTAGAATGAATCAAAGTCAGGGAGCGCCTAAGGCCAATGGTACTACAAGTACTACTGCTGTCACAGGTGACCAGCGTATGAGTTGCCTGTCATTTGAATAATGCGTGGCTAGACTGTCCCTGTCCTGGAGAATGCTTGAGATTGCAGGTGTGACAGAAAGATGGGCTCAACACTTCCCTTTCTCATGAGCAGCATCAGTTGGCTTCTTAGCACATAGTTAGAGAGGCTGAAGATGCCAGTGCCGTGGCCGCCCCCACACATACACGTGTGCGTTTGTCTGATTTGGCGCCATCACAAAGGCAGAGGCGGTCTGTTGACTGTGCGCTGGAATGGTGGTGATGACGCTGGCACACGTCCTCATCCAGGGTCTCCTTGCACGTCCCCGCCACCCTTCCCGGCACGAAGGATCAGCTACCGAGCAGGTGGTTGGTCGGCAAGACAATGTATTCCACCCAGCCCTTCCTTGGCTTGTCCACCTACCATTCTGTTGTCATCTGCAGTGTGGACTTCATGCTTTCTACATGTCCCCTTTGACCTTTTCCTGATACAAGTCATTCTGTGAACGTTGGCTGCACCCGAGTATCCAACTATTTCAGGTCATTGGCGTCCAGACTCAGCCCTGGATTTTTTAGTTCTCTTTTGTTTTTCTGACCCTTCCCCACAGTGTTAGAGATCACTCGGTAAGGTCGCTGGTGGGCCCTGCTCCTGACGTATGCCCGACGCCCCAGGGAGCTGCTCCTGACGGACTCCCGGGTTGGGGAACAGTGTCCAGCAGGACAGCGTTCACCTGACCGCTTGCCTGAAAGTACAGTGAAGACACTCAAGGCTTTTGGGGTGTCAGTCCTGGAAAGGCGGGTCATCGTTTGTCTCCTTTTAGATTTTGTGAACGTCAGGGTGATCAGTCTCCCGTTCCCAGCTCTGTTTAGAGCACATAGCAGGGGGTCCGGGTCACCCAGCCAGAACGGAGCCAGCAGCCTCTTCCTTCCTGTGGTGTGTGTAGAGGATCCAAGCGATTCTGTCCTGATTGTCTGCGTTTACTGTTTCTGTTTTGCACTTTTTAATTTTGTGGAAATGTGCCTATTTGTCTGGAAATTTTCTTTTTAAAAATTAACTTAGTAGGTAATAAATCTTCCTATCAAAAGACGAAATCTTTAAATTTTAAAAACTGCCCAGGATAAGCAATTTAAAACACAAAGCAACTTTCACAGTCTGTCTTAAAACTCATTTCCTATCGCAAAATTAATTTTCTAGGACTAAAGATCTGCATCACACCTCACAAGGATTTGGGTTTCTGCGGAGGAGGCTTGGTTACAGAAATTGTTCTTTTAAATCACTTAAGTGTGAGCTTTTTCTTCGCAAACAGGATAACGACAATGCGGGCATCAAGAAAATGAGAGCCAGGAGCTGTCGGAACACTGAAGATACTTAGCTGAGAAGTGTAAAAGCGAGAAGAGTGATGCCTGGGATTCGCCCACATCCTGCTTCATAAGAGGATTCGCCCTAGTCCTGAACTCAGTTCCCCTGGGGGTCCCGTAAATTTAGTTTATGTTCTTGTACAATATTTGCCATGAATATAAAAGTGAATTCTGTAAATAATGCTACCTGGGTGTTTAGGGGAAGAGAGCTTAGAATCGTGTGGCTTTGAATGGTTTATTCAGAAACCCCACAGCAGGGTCATGAAGAGGACTACCTGGTCCCATAAAGTGATAAAGATACAAAATTTGGGAGCAGAGGAGTTGGGCCGAGGTATGGCCTTCAACTTTGCCAGGTGAAGCCCTGACATGTGTCTCTGTGGCCCTCGCCACGGTGCCAAATGCACCTGCCTCTGTCGGTGTCCTTCCTCAGAAGGTGGAAGGCAGGGCTCTCTGTCCTCACGTCCCCAGCACCGGGCTGGCACTCAGGAAACACTGATGCGTGATGAGACTGAGAAGCTACATGCTTCCACTGGGGAGATGAGGTCCATGCACTCAGGCTGTTGGTCTTCTGCACAGGACGGTCCTGTCCTTGGTGTCTGTCACTAAGGGAATTTGTGATTTGGAGGACTGCTTGTGAATCCGTCTTCAGGGCACAGCTTCCTGTAGTAAGGACTGACTGGTGGCTTGCTTTTTCCACTTTAGGGAATATCTGTCTTAACTAGCACCTCTGTCATCTGAGAAGGCCTCCACCCATCACATCAGGGCTACCAGCCACTGTGTCACTCAATTCCAATGGTAGCATTCTTCCTGACTGTACCTGTTGGACTGAATTAGTGCCCAGCATGCCACCGTGTACAGGAAACGCAGACCCTTCTCCAGAGGAAGCCATTTCTGACAACAACAGCACAAGGCTCCTCCCCCACAACTTCCAGGAGCTGACTTTGGAGCCAATGCCTCCTGTATCGTTTTAAGCCCAGATTTCTTTCTTCAGCCTCAGACCCACAGATGAGCATTTTTATGTTCCATCTTGTCCTGTTCCTGAAGTCAGAAAGTTGTGCGCCTTCCCTCCAGGCCCATCTGAGGGCCTCCCACTCACCTGCCTAGACAAGTTAAGCTGAGGATGGAAGACGAGAAAGGGTAGCTGTCCCCTGAATGTGCACAGTAGCCATGCCCCTGTCAGCCCACTCCTGTGTGCCCTGTACTGGCTTGGAGCCAGGTTCACATAATAAATGTTTGTGGAATGAACACACAAATCCAGGTGTGTGTGTCTGAGTCACTGGTAGTTGCCTTCGCTATCTTGGCTGCCTTTTTAGTGTTGTGAACTGTATTGTCTAAGATATGGAAGCGTGACGGGTAGGACGGGGCAGGGAGGGGACAGCTGAGAGGCTCCCCAAGGCTGGTGATGGGCCGGCTGGACCAGAAAGGAGTGGGATACTGGCGAGCAGAGAAGGGGGAGTATTTTGGGAAGCTCAGCCTCAGAAAAGTCACAGAAAGTCACAAATGTGTCAATTAGTTAGGCAAATTTTAAGAAAATGTAAAATAGGATTTTTCTATGATTAAGTTGTTCTGCCAACACTTAAGATTTAATAATAATTAGGAACCTTGCATATAGAAAAATTTCAATTAGCCATATGCCTGGGGAATGGAATATACCAGTTAATTAAAAAATCCTTTCCAGTTCGATTCTAAGCAAAAATCTCGCTGAAATTTATCAGCATATTTTCTCACTTTTGTAAGAGCATAAGGGTGGTTCTCATTTTATAGAGCTGTAGGTACCGCAGTACAAAGTTGATTCAAACTAGTGCTTAATAAAACATAACTGTTGGACACATCATTTAACATTTTTTGTGGTGGAAGCATCAAATGGCAATATTAACCAACAGGCTGACTGTTTGAGAATAGGGTACAAGTAATAAAACCTCAGCCCCCCACTGTGTGGTTCTTTAACTTCTCTGAGCCTTGGATTCCTAGTAACATTGCTCTGTTGGGAAGGTCTCAATATACGGAAGCTATTTTTACTTTATGGTCTACTGGCTTCTGCTTGATACGGCTGCAACGGTTTCTGCTTGACTTTATTTGCTCTAATTCAGGACCAGCCAACTCTTGCCTGCCTTAGGCAAGACACCCCCCCCCCACCGGCAACCCCCTGTACACACACATGTACACACAATTATACACACATGCTCACACCCCACACACCCTGCTCTTTGCCTGGCACTTTGCCCACCTGCTTCCCAGGATTCACCCTAGTCTTGAGCTGAGCTTCAGGGGGCTCCTTCAAGGAAGCCTGGCTTACCCCATCCCCATTTCCCGAGCTGGGCTGGGTCCCCCATTTCCTGCTCTGGTGTCATCCTGTACTCATCTGTGGGACGTAGCTCTGGAAACCAGACCACTGACGAGTGTGTGCCCATTCTGCCAGGACTGAGCTTTGTTGTCCCTGAGGGCAGACTGTTTGCCCATCACCAGGTTCCAGTGACCCAGCACAGAAGGTGCCCAGCCAGGTGTCCATGAGATGGAATGATGTTAAAAACTCGTGTATTTTTAATTAAACAGAGGGTAGGGGAAAAGAACATAAACCATGTGGGGAGAGCGGCCAGCCAGGGTCAGAGTCAGAGACCCAGGTTCACTGGCCTTTGGTCTCCATTTGTGCATCTGGCGTGGCTAGGTGGTTCGTCTCTCTCCTGGCCAGCAAAGCTCCATGGCCATGACCCTCCTGCAAATACAGCTCTCCATACTTGGAGAAGGGGCTCCCTGCACCCCTGGCCAAGTCTGATTTGTCTGGGTCCAGGGACAGGGATTGAACCATAGCCACCAAAGACAGCTGCAAAAATAACTCTTGTTGCTCAGTCTTCTATCTGACCACCCGAAGGGGACCTAGAGCCCGGGAGAAGACGTGCAGATGAGTCCCAGGGGTAGGAACCTGGGGTGCTTCAGTTTGTCCGGGGGAAGTTTTCTGTCAGAAAGAAGGAAGCTTTCCGGTGTTGGTGCGTGGAGCTTATCACTGCCTGAAGGGGCTGGGGAAGGAAGGGAGGGAGGCGAGGCTGCCCTCAGCCCTAAACCTGAGCCAACTCAGCGATTTAGGCCTCTATGGGTGGGCACCTTACTCGGGCGAGGCGTCCTGGGTTGTTGTGGAGAGGCTACACCACAAACAAAGTAAATTCTAGCTACTCAGCTAGCAATGATAGGGGCCGGATACTATCATTTGCTGGGCTCTAGAAGACTACTTTAGATAAGTTGCTGGAATCGTCTTCCCAGGCCTGGATCTGGTATTCCAGCCACAGCTGGAGGGACCCTGAGTCTGGAGACATGCAGACCACCCAGATCTCTGAGGGCCTCCAACACAGTCATGCTGATGTGTGAGCATTCCATAACCTGTAGACTGAGATGTCATCAGTATTGCTCTTTACAAAGGAAAAAAAAGGGCCCATGACTTCTTCACATGAAGCTCCTCCTGGTGTTTACACAGTGGCTTCACAGGAATGAAGGTATGATTTGACATGTGCGTTGGGTTCTGCCATGTAAGGGCCACAGACCCCCTCTGTCAGGCAGGCTCAGCCTCGTGCTCATCCACCCATTTACAGGCCAGGAGGTCCCAAAGCGTCCTGGACAAGGAGTGGTATGCAGCCATCAATGACAGCTTTTTACAGAACATCAAAGGGAAGTATTTATAATGAGAGTAACAAAGGCTTAGTATCCACGTTTTAAAAAGAACTATAATAAATCCATCAGGAAACATCAAATGACACAATAAGGAAAATGGATGAGAAACATACATGTGAACTGGTGATTCACAGATGACACACAAATGTGTGAAAAGATGCTCAACCCACGAGAAGTTAGGGAAATGCAGATTAAAACGAGATGATTTTTGCCTATCGGCTTTGCAAAAGCTCAGAAGCTTGCTAGCATCTAGGGTTAGTGGTGTGCAGGGAAGCAGACACTCTCTGCAGTACAGGTGGGCAGGGCTGGGCAGCCTTTGGATGGCAAGTTTGGTGGCACTTCAGCCATTTCTACTTAAATTTAAGATGTGCATGCCCTTTGACCCCGAAAGCCTATGTCTAGGAAACTCATAAGAAGTACTTGGCACGTGAGAGCAGACACAAGTGTGCAAGTGTGACAAGCCAGGGGAAAGACGGTGCCCACCATGGGGGAATGACCATTAGATTTATACCAGAGAATACCAGGCAGCCCTGAAGCAGGACAAGGGGGCCTCGTATGGGTTTACGTGGCCAGATCCTAAGTGTTGCACAGAAAGGTCAGTCCGCACCATTGCCCACAGGTAGCCTATGGTCACTTCGAAGATGCAAAGTGCTCATATAGCAGACTAACATTAGGATGTGTCTCAAAATTGATGGCATCCTACAAGGAACAACTGGCAGTGTATTCACTACCTTAGTAGAACATGAAGCGGATTTGACAATTTTGTCTGCTGGATCTGATGATATACCAAGAGTTTGACCCCATTGTTCCTAAAAAAAAATAAGTGCATAGTCTGTCCATGTGTCTATGTAACTGCACAAGTTTAAATCTGCGGGCAGCTGTGTGGCAGGATGGGTCCCTAAGTTATCGACGGATTTAATGGGGAGAGGAGTCAGGCGAAGGGCCAACTTCATTAGCACAGCTCACGTATTTCTGTTGGGTTTGAACCTCTACAACAAACCCGGCTCCCTGCATTGCCATAGCAGCATCCTTTGTGACCAGGGCCTGGCACCCTTTTTTCTATGATTAAGTTGTTCTGCCAACACTTAAGATTTAATAATAATTAGGAACCTTGCATATAGAAAAATTTCAATTAGCCATATGCCTGGGGAATGGAATATACCAGTTAATTAAAAAATCCTTTCCAGTTCGATTCTAAGCAAAAATCTTGCTGAAATTTATCAGCATATTTTCTCACTTTTGTAAGAGCATAAGGGTGGTTCTCATTTTATAGAGCTGTAGGTACCGCAGTACAAAGTTGATTCAAACTAGTGCTTAATAAAACATAACTGTTGGACACATCATTTAACATTTTTTGTGGTGGAAGCATCAAATGGCAATATTAACCAACAGGCTGACTGTTTGAGAATAGGGTACAAGTAATAAAACCTCAGCCCCCCACTGTGTGGTTCTTTAACTTCTCTGAGCCTTGGATTCCTAGTAACATTGCTCTGTTGGGAAGGTCTCAATATACGGAAGCTATTTTTACTTTATGGTCTACTGGCTGCTCCTTGATACGGCTGCAACGGTTTCTGCTTGACTTTATTTGCTCTAATTCAGGACCAGCCAACTCTTGCCTGCCTTAGGCAAGACACCCCCCCCCCACCGGCAACCCCCTGTACACACACATGTACACACAATTATACACACATGCTCACACCCCACACACCCTGCTCTTTGCCTGGCACTTTGCCCACCTGCTTCCCAGGATTCACCCTAGTCTTGAGCTGAGCTTCAGGGGGCTCCTTCAAGGAAGCCTGGCTTACCCCATCCCCATTTCCCGAGCTGGGCTGGGTCCCCCATTTCCTGCTCTGGTGTCATCCTGTACTCATCTGTGGGACGTAGCTCTGGAAACCAGACCACTGACGAGTGTGTGCCCATTCTGCCAGGACTGAGCTTTGTTGTCCCTGAGGGCAGACTGTTTGCCCATCACCAGGTTCCAGTGACCCAGCACAGAAGGTGCCCAGCCAGGTGTCCATGAGATGGAATGATGTTAAAAACTCGTGTATTTTTAATTAAACAGAGGGTAGGGGAAAAGAACATAAACCATGTGGGGAGAGCGGCCAGCCAGGGTCAGAGTCAGAGACCCAGGTTCACTGGCCTTTGGTCTCCATTTGTGCATCTGGCGTGGCTAGGTGGTTCGTCTCTCTCCTGGCCAGCAAAGCTCCATGGCCATGACCCTCCTGCAAATACAGCTCTCCATACTTGGAGAAGGGGCTCCCTGCACCCCTGGCCAAGTCTGATTTGTCTGGGTCCAGGGACAGGGATTGAACCATAGCCACCAAAGACAGCTGCGAAAATAACTCTTGTTGCTCAGTCTTCTATCTGACCACCTGAAGGGGACCTAGAGCCCGGGAGAGGACGTGCAGGCGAGTCCCGGGGGTAGGAACCTGGGGTGCTTCAGTTTGTCCGGGGGAAGAAGTTTTCTGTCAGAAAGAAGGAAGCTTTCCGGTGTTGGTGCGTGGAGCTTATCACTGCCTGAAGGGGCTGGGGAAGGAAGGGAGGGAGGTGAGGCTGCCCTCAGCCCTAAACCTGAGCCAACTCAGCGATTTAGGCCT